ATCTGGTTTTCCCAGCACCATTTATCTTTTCCTTTTTCTATACTCTTGGCTCCTGTGTTGTAAAATAATTGACAATGCAGGTATGGGTTTATTTCTGGGTTCCTTTTCTAGTCCATTGATCTATGTGTCTGTTTTTATGTCAATACCATACTGTTATGATTACTATAGGTTTTTAATGTAGTATGAAATCAGGAATCGTGATGCCTTCTTTCTTAAGATTACTTGGCAATTCAGTCTTTTCAGTTCCTTAAAAATTTTAGAATTTTCTGTTTATGTGAAAAATGCCACTGAAATTTCTATAGGGATTGCACTGAATCTGCAGATTGGATGATATGAACATTTTAACAGTATTAATTCTTCCAATCCATAAGTATAAAACACCTTTCCATTTGTGTCTTCTACAATTTCTTTCATCAAAGTTTTATAGTTTTCAGTGTATAGGTCTTTCACCTCCTTGGTTAAATTTATTCCTAAGCATTTTATTCTTTTCCATGCAATTTCAAGTGGAATTGTTTTTTTAATTTCTCTTTCTGATAGATCATTGTTAGTGTATAGAAATGCAACTCTTTCTGTATATTGATTTTACCCTGAAACTTTACCAAATTCATTTATTAGTTCTAACATTTTTTTGGTGTAGTCTTTAGGATTTTCTGTATGTAATACAGAAATGTCATCTGCTAATACAGATAATTTTACTCCTTTCTTTTCCAATTTGGATGACTTTTATTTCCTTTTCTTGCCTAATTTCTCTGGTTAGGGCTTTCAGGTCTATGTTGACTAAAAGTGGTAAAAGTGAGCATCCTCACTTTATTCCTGAATTTAGAGGAAAAACTTGTAGCTTTTCACCATTGAGTATGATGTTAACTGAAGGATTGCCATATATGGCCTTTATTATATACAGATATAGTCCCTCTATACACAGTTTGTTGAGAATTCTTATCGTGGATGGGTATTGAATTTTATCAAATGCTTTGTCTACATGTATTGAGATAATCATATAGTTTTTAGCCTTCATGTTATTGTATTAATGTGGTGTATCACATTGATTTGCGGATGTTGAACCATTCTTGCATTCCTGGAATAAATTCCACTCCTTCATGGTGTTTGATCCTTTTCCTGTACTATTGAATTTGGTTTGCTAATATCTTCTTGAAGATTTTTGTATTTATGTTCATCAGGGATATTGACCTATAATTTTATTTTCTTGTAGTGTCCTTTTCTGATATTTGGCATCAGGGTAATGCTGACCTTGTAAAATGAGTTTACAAGTCATTCTTCCTCTTCAACTTTTTTTGGAACAGTTTCAGAAGAATTGCAATTAATTCTTCATTAAATGTTTGGTAGAATTCATCAGTGAAGCCATTTGGTCCTGAACTTTTGCGGGGGGTGCAGTGGTGGTGATTACTAATTCAATCTCCTTAGTGTAATTGGTCTGCTCAGATTTCCTATTCTTCCTGATTCAGTCTTGGTAGACTGAATGTTTCTATGAATTTATCCATTTCTTCTATGTTTTCCAATTGTTTTGTGTATAATAGCTTATTTTGATCCTTTGTATTTCTGTAGTATCAACTGATCTGTTAACATTTGCTTTACATACTTAGATGCTCCTATGTTAGGTGCATAAATATTTACAAATGTTATGTTCTCTTGCTGTATTGACTTCTATATCATTATATGCCCTTCTTTGTTTCTTATTAGAGTCTTTGTCTTACAGTCTATTTTGGCTAATATATGTATAGATACCTACCTTGGCTTTCTTTGGTTTCCATTTGCATAGAATATCTTTTTTCCATCTTGTTGCTTTCAGTCTGTGTGTGTCCTTAAAGCTGAAGAGAGTCTCTTGCTTTAGCTTTACCCCTCATCTATACACTGATGATTCACAAATATTTAAGATATAACTCTCTTCCACAGTAAGCTTAAACTCAAAAATGACCAAAAGTGAACTCAACTTGCCTTGAAACTTGCTTTTTCTCTTTTATTTCTTATCTCAATAAATGGTACCACCAACCTCCTAGTTTTTAATTTAATGTTTTCTACTTCCTCACACTCTGTGTCTCCCTTCCCATTTTGACCCTTAACATTATCACATTCTCTCTTCCTTCCCTTTTAATTCTATTGAATCTATCTTTGCTATATTCTCACAGTCAACACCTTTGTTCACCAACATTAACTATTTCTTCCTAATTGGTTTCCTATGTCCAAAATTTTCTCCCCCTTTATAAAATATTATCTATATCATAACTGGAATGATCTTTCTAAAAAATATATGTCCTTGTCATTTTCTTCTATGTACTTTTTTAATGTTTTTCTATTGCCCTTGGGAGAAAATCCAAATTCATCCACTTCTTTTACAGAACACACCAATCGCAAACAACTTGCAGTCCAGGATGCCATGATTCTGTCACCTATAGGTCTCTGTATCCCCAATGCTTTTGCCTAAAATGCCTTTTTCAAACCTGTCCTTACTGCTAACTTCTACTCATTTTTCAGATGTAAAATTAAGATATCATTGCCAGAGAAGTCTTGAAATCTTCTAGACTTGTGGTATCCATATGATAGCTACTAGTCATTCCTAGGTATTGAGCATTGAAATGTGGTTAATCTGAATACAGATGTACTACACCAAACTTTAAGGCTTAATATTAAAAAATTAAAAATTATCTATTAATAATTTTTATACTAGTTACATATGAAATAATATTTTGGATGTGTTGGGTTTAATAAAATATACTATTGAAATTAATTTTATTTTGTTTAACTTTTTTAATGTGACTACAATAAAACTCAAAATTACACATGGCTTGCATTATATTTCAATTGGACAACACTTAGGTTAGATGAGAAGGAACCCCTTTTCTCAGTACCCTACAGCTATTTCTTTATTAGCATTTATTATATCAAATAAAACTCCTAGACTGTACCCCACACGAGACTGAAAGTACCTAATGAACAAGCTGCCTTGGTCAACATGCCAATTTCAGTACTAAGGGTGCTAAAATGAAAACAGTCAATCCCCCTTATGCATAGATTCCATATTTGTGAATTTCCTTACTTGCTAAATTTCCTTGTAACCACAAAATCGATACATGGGATGCGTTCGGGATCTTTTGTGGTCATACACAGAGCAGTGAAAGATTTGAGTCCTACTACACACATTTTACTGGCTGAGGTCAAACAAGGCAATGCTCTGCTTTCTTGTTTCAGTTGTCAAAGAGTCAAGTCTTTTTCAGTCTATTATTGCCATTCTTTCATATTTTTGTGACTTTTGTTGGTGAATTAGCTATTTAAAATGACCCCCAAACATAGCACTGAAGTGCTGTCCAATGTTTTCAAGCACAAGAAGGCTGTGATGTGTCTTACAGAGAAAATACATTGATAGATAAACCACCTTTGGGCATGAATTATAGTGCTGTTGGCTTAAGTTAAATGTTAATGAATTAATATATATTAAATAAGATCTTTAAAGAGAAACACACATAAAACAAGATTACATATTGGTCAGTTGATGAAAATGTTGTGACCAGGGGCTCGCTGGAAGCTAACTCTGTATTTCCCTTAGGTGCAATGGTTCAATATTTATTGATTAAGTGTTCCAGCAACTTCACTCGAATCAACTGTATTTGTTGAATGAATAAAGCCAGATCATTTTATTCCAAATACAAATCTTATGTGAATGCAGTGTGTGATGATAGTTAAAGCAGTGATTGTGGAGCCAAACTGCTATTGTTGGCCTTCTGACATCCTAGTTGTGTGATTTGGGGAAATTAACTTTTCTCTGCTATCTTCCACAACTAAAAATGTATATAAAATAATAGTTGCTAATGATTACCAGGAGCTGGGTGTGGCGGGAAGGGACCAACCACAAAATGGCAGGAGAAAACTTTCAAAATGAGGAAAATATTCCCTACCTTGATTATTGTGGTAGTTAACATAAAACATTTCATGCATCTCCTGCTTACATAAATACTCTTTAAACATTCTAGTAACTATAGACAGAGAAAGGTTAGGTGGTATAAGGAAAAGCAGAGTAGGCTCATGAAGCAATACAGTCTCACAGGGCCACGTAAACTGGGTTGTGGAGGTCACCTTCCCAAGGCCGTAAAAAGTGGTGCACTGAGAAAAGGGGAACACATCTCTTTTAAGGGCCTTGGTTCTTAATCCTATACAAGTCTCTATTGGTTCCAGGTCGCTTTTGAAGACAACCCAACTGCTCTAAGGTATAGACATATTTCTAACTGAATGAAATGCAAACATCAGGAGGAAGGCAGAGCTGAGTCTGGCAGAACACCTTTCTGAACTTGTCAGCGTGGTAGGAGTCAGACGCCAAGAGGCAGGAGTGAGTGAGACCAGTCCACTGCTGCTTTTTAGGATGTCCTGTGAGTGCCCACCCCGGAGAGGGCTGTTCACGCCAGCAGGACATCCAGTGGCAGTTGCTGTCATAAACTCATCATATAGGTGGCTGAGGTTCCAAGAGCCCACACTACAGAGCTGGGTAACAAAATACTGCATTCAGCCTCTTTCTTGAGGAACAAGCCCATAGAGGGCTGATTTTAGATTCCAAAGTTCCCTCCACAGTCATGCGGGACACCATTGAAATCGCTGGCCTCTCGAGGGCTTACAGCCATCACGTAACAAATAGCACGCACCTGAGGGACAGGGTCCACAGAGCAAGTGATTTGGATCCTGTTTAACTTTGACTGAAACCCCAAAGCAACCAACATAAAAGTTTGAGGGCGCAAGATTCCTTGCTGGCGACTCTGCCTTCAGCAACTGGCCTCCAAAAAGGGCTCTTCACGCCGGAAGTGCATTAATCCGTAGCACGTGGGGTTGCCAGGGCGCTCTTCACGTGACTGGGCGGGGCCTCGACAACCTTGTGGCCAATGGTAGCACTAGAGGGCGGTACCTGTGACGCGCCCGACCTATCCCGGAAGTGGGGCTGAGCTGGGGGCGGGAAAGGGCGGGGAGGCCGGGGTGTGGAAAGTGGCGGCCCCGCCCCGTCTCTTGGAACTGCCCGGCCGCCGCCGCCACCGCTGTCGCCGCCGCCTCAGCTGTGTGGGACCCGCGCCGGTGCGCAGACGAAAGGCTCGCTTTCTTTGCTGAAAGGTGAGAAGATGGGGAGAAACTGGAAAACTGGTAGGGCAGGGACTGGAGCGAGGCAGGACAGGGAAAGGCGGCCGGAGCCGACTACTATCGAGCTAAGAAGCTAGATGGGGGAACGGAGGCGAGCGCGGGACCCGCCAGAGCTAAGGCCCGTGTGGGGCCGGCCGGGCCGGGGATGCCGGCTGGGTATGGGGGCGCCTGAGAGGCCGGGACTACGGCGCCGCGGCCCTTGGGCGGAATGCGCGCCCAGTGCTCGAGGGCCAGGTGCTTGCTGGCCGGGTCCTGTTATCCCTGTCCGTCGCGGGGGCGTGCGGCCTGGGCTGGGTCCCCGCAGTGGAGATCAGGGCGGCGGCGGAGGGCCGGGTAGTGCGGCGCGGTGCGGGAAGGTCGCCGACTTCTGCGCTGGGACGACGGGGGCCGGGATTTGCTGCTCCCTGTACGGTTGAGCACCCCTAGCGGGTATCCCCCACTCCAGCGAGCTCCTCTGCGACTTCCCACCCACCTCCCCACCAATGGATGGAAAAGTTTGTAGAGGCCAGAGTTAGAAAAGTGACCACTGTTCTTGCACAAATAATTGATCTGTGATGCTTGGCACGCAACCTGCCTGAAATGAGATGTTTCCTTGCCTGCGTGCCTGTTGTTAAAAAGCAAACACAAACTTTTTGCGTAGTTCCTTCAGGAAAGCTACCATCTCCCCAGCCCACCATGGCAGATGAGATTGATTTCACTACTGGAGATGCTGGGGCTTCAAGCACATACCCTATGCAGTGCTCGGCCCTGCGCAAGAACGGCTTCGTGGTGCTCAAAGGACGACCGTGCAAAATAGTAGAGATGTCAACTTCCAAAACTGGAAAGCACGGTCATGCCAAGGTAAGTGCTCTTCCAGGTCTGTCTCTGCGTTGAGATTTTGATCATTTGTATTTCATTACAGCACATGAGATTTCTATACTTACAACCTTGTAACAAGCACTTTTTTCTTTCCACTACTACTGGGAGATTTGCTGTTACTTTGAATGCTGAAAGGTAGCATTTTCTTCTTGGGCCCCTATAATGTTTCATTAATTTTCCTGAGTCCTACTGACTTAGAAGATCTGTTCAGTTTACAGACGAGAAAACCCGTTCTAACATAAGTCTAAAGTCTAACTTCTTGTGCCCTCTTATAATTTAATTACTAGGCTACATATGATTTGGGTCTTGATATGTTTAGTTCACTGCTTATAAATTTTGTGACCACTGACTTTTTTTAAGAAAAGTAAAGTTAGATGACCTTGGAAGGAGAAAAAATCTGTTATAATCAGCGTTGGTATTGTATTCTTGTGTACGCAATGATTGATATACTTGGCAAAGTTTAAACAGGTTTCCTGTTCTCCCTTTGTTAGGTTCACCTTGTTGGAATTGATATTTTCACGGGCAAGAAATATGAAGATATTTGCCCTTCTACTCACAACATGGATGTTCCAAATATTAAGAGAAATGATTATCAAGTAAGTACTAATTTCCTTTAGAATGCTGCTTGTTTCTTAAAGGTATACATACATTCCACTATCAATTGTAATTTAACAAAATCTAGGAGTAGTTTTGTAGGTTTTTCTAACCAATTATTAGGCACCACTTATCTTAGAAATTGGAGAAATAGTGACATTTAACAGTTGTACCTTATCTAGGATTACAGCTAATTTACTATTTTAACATTCTTGCATTTTTAAAAAGTTGAGCCTTACTGTTTTTCAGACTAAGTGACTGCATACTGTTGCTGAATAAGTTTAGTTTTTAATAAAATTACTATTCTCTTTCTTGTAAAATATTTCAAATTTGGATAACTTCCTCTCAGATGTTTTATTCCTTTTCACTTATCAGACCTAAGGCTTTCAAGAATTTAATGCAATTCGTGTTCCACCAAGTTTGTGTATTAATGAATGTGACTCAGAACTTGGTATTCTTAAATAGGGAAATAAGTTGAAGTCCTTAAATATAAAGGATAAACTATTTGGTTGGCCAGTAAGTCCTTTTTTTTTTTTTTTTATATGATGGCTCTAGTAATGCTTAGTCGTATTTAACTTGATTCAACGGCTGTCTTACCAGTGTACATTTTTTAAAAATTATCAAAATTAAGTTTTTGTGCAGCCATTTTAATATTGAAGATGGACGATGGTACACAACATTTTCAGTGTATTATGCTATATCATTTCAGAAAAGGTAAAAATGTAACAAAAATAAAAAGAGATTTGTGCAGTGTGTGGAGAAGGTGCTATGACTGACTGAATGTGTCAAAAGTGATTTATGAAATTTCTTGGTACTGTTGATATTTGGCCAAATACTCCTTTGTTGTGGGGGTGTCTTATGCATTGGAAGATGTCTACCCACTAGAAGCCAACAGAAGGAGATAGCCAACATACTGAAAATATCTAAATCAATAAAGTTGTTGGTGAAAATGAAAAATGTGTCTTTTGTTTTACGGAAAAAACCAAATGGACTTTTTGGCCTACCCAATACATGGTCACTGAATATGGCAAAGAAAATACAAAAACTATGTAATTGTTTTATTTATATTCAGTGACCATGTTGTGACCTTTTGTTAAATTATAGGTATAAACTTCAAGTTTTAGTTCCAATTATACATTTGGATAGGTCATATTTAATTATAGCATTCTGTTTTTTGGAGTATTGACAGTAGCCAAACCATTGACCTCATAGGATGTAGGAGCTCAGGTTAATCACAACTAAAGTCTTTCTTGAAAGTCTTTAATTTCTGTATCAAGCATACCGTATATAGGACTCACTTCTGTTCATTTTACATAGTGAGAAGTGTAAGTGTGACACTTAGATTTGTCTTACCCAGTTTGAACTGATTTCCTTCTATACCTTTTAATGTATTGTGTAACTTTTAAAGAATATTACCATCAGTTGCAACTACCCAGTGATTCCCTTTTACTTTTTTGTCCACATGTATACATATTTTTACATGATTTTAATCTAGTAAGCAGTTTCATGTTTTCACTTTCCCACTTACCGTGTTTTCTAGGTTGCTTCAAAGTCTTTGTAGAATTTTGAATTGTCTTAGTATAATAATAGGAAGTGTTGTGTGTTTGTTTGTTTAGTCAGGTGAGTCTGAGTTTGGATCTAGTTCTGCTACTTTTTAGCTGGGTGACCTTGGATAAATGATGAAACCTCTCTGAGCCTTGGTCTTTCTGTCTACAAAAGAGGGATAATGTGAGGATTAAATTAGAAAGCGTGCCCTATAATTACCTTTTAAGTAGATATACACCAAAAAGTAGTTCTTTTTGCTCCCCTTTTTCCTATATCAAAATTCCACTTAATCTTTCCAGTATTCTTGAAGCACCTAATTTAGATGTGGCATATAGTAGGTGCTCAATAAACATTTGTTAAATGCATAACTAATTATTCATTGAGGTAAGGATAGTGCAGCAAACTAAGGCTAAACATAGCATTTTCTTTTGCCAAAAGAGGATTTCCATTTTAATCCTTTTTTTAAAAAAAAATTATGTATTTAATTTTAGAGAGAGGAGAAAGCAGGAAGAAAGAGGGAGAGAAACAATTAAGATGCGAGAGAAACATCAATCGTTGCCTCTCGCACATCCTCAACCAGGGATGTGGCCCGCAACCCAGTCATGTGCCCTGACGGGGAATCCAGCTGATGGCCCTTCAGTTCGCAGGCTGGCCCCCAGTGCCCTGAGCCACACCAGCAGGGGCTCCATTTTCATCCTTAATATGTGAATGCTTTCATTATTCAATGGCCATTATATTCGTTAATATACATTCAACACAGAAGGTTTTTGCCTTTGAGTATTTCATAAAGATGGCATCAGTAGTTAATTACTACTGTTATCAAATTATCCAATCATTGATTGGAACTCAACATTTAACATAAAGGAAAAATTTGATTTGGGTTTTATTTGGGGACGTAGCAGGGCCCAGACTCAGGTGAGAGAAATGAGGGGAGTGAGTCCCTTGCCTAGAGCACAGAATTTTAAGTAAAGGTAAGACAAGTATGATATTTTGCTGTGTATAATGCACATCCATGTTTTTGTGAACCTTATACATGGGATTATTATAACCTTTATTATTCTCATGACATGTAATCATTATACTCATGTATAATACGCCTCCTTATTTTTCCCTCAAAAATTTATGCAAAAAAGTACACATTATTCATGGCAAAATATGGTAACAATGCCAAGCCATTTAGGAGCCTAAGGCAAAAGGAAAAATCAGTAATTCTGATTCTTTTTAAAAAACATTTTGATATTTTGTTCATTGTGGAATTTTTGCATTAATTCTAATTTTTTAAAATACTGTATTAAAATATTTATCTGATCACTGATGTTTCTTTTGGCACCACCTTAAATTTTGTACCCAAGACAGATGCCTCACTTGCCTCACTCTAGCCCCAGTCTTTGGTATGTAGCTTGGATAAGGGAATAACTGCAGACTGGATAAGAGAATGACTCAAGCTAGGCAAATCCTTGCTTTTACACGTACTCTTTGACCTCAGTTGGCAAGTTATTTAACCTTTGCTTTCTTTTCTTTAATTATAAAATGAGGATAAGAATAATGAACTCCTCATGGGATCTTTGTGAGGTTTTTAATAAGTTAATACTTAGAACAGTGTCTTGCTGACTAAGCACTCAGTGATCACATCCCTTCATTATCAAGTCACCGTAGAATACTTATTTCCATTGTTTTTTTTTTAAAAAAACAGCTCTGTGAGCCTTTCCAATTATAGTTTTTGTATTATGGCGGTCTTCACTTCCCCACCTAAGTGCCTCGATTAAATTCCTCCTTATTGTTTGGCTACATGTAGTCCTTTGTATTTACTTTATTTGGTATTTCAAGTGCCAGTTTGGCAGCTGGTGAAAACTAAAAAGTAAATCTTTGTTTAGGAAATGTATTAATATTTACAATTTTAACTTTATATATTTTAAAATAAGTTCAAAATGAAAGAAAAATTGTCTCTTGACTTCTACTGCAAGATGTACTTAGGGTTAGAACTGCTAATTTCCATTACTCCTCCCCAAAGTAGTTATGGTTGTCTGGGGCTCAGTGATGGTGTAAAATGCAAATACATCCAGACATCTTTTGGAATACTCAAGTTCTTAAATATAGAAATGCTTGTTCAGACTCTGATACTCACTTGAATCATGTTTGTTTAGAAGGTTCTCTGTTCCTGTATACCGTACCACAAATTAAATGCCTTTTCTGCATTCACTAAAGTTTCACGTCATGTGAAATCTGTCTCTCAGAAATAAAACTAATTATTGTGGACCTTTGAATTGCCAAAACTATGAATATTAAATCCTAGTATATTCTTCAGCCCTTGCTAGTATGGATCAGTGGATTGAGCACCAGCCTGCAAACTGAAAGGTCGCCGGTTTGATTCCCAGTTGGGGTACGTGCCTGGGTTGTAGGCCAGGTCCCCAGTTGGGGGTGTGTAAAAGACATCTGATCAATGTATCTCTCACACATTGATGTTTCTGTCCATCTTTTCTCCCTGCTGTCCCCTCTCTCTAAAAGTAAATAATTAAAATCTTTAAAAATAAATAAATTCTAATATATTCTTCAAATAAGTGGTAGGCCTTTTGGAAAATGGGATATGTGAGTTCAATTTTGTTGTTGCAACTTTAAAAAGAACAACAGCAAAGAAGATAATTATGGTATGAGTTCTTGGAGGTTAAAGTCTTTTTGTAATTTTTACCTGTTCTGTGGAATTCTTTTTGTTCCCTGGTAGAAGTCTTTCTTTGGTAATAAAAATTTTCTTAACCAGCAGATCCCAGTATTGCATGGACAAGAAACAAATTATTTTGTTACAGTATCATTAAAGGAAATAGTGAGAAGAGCCACAACTTTGGTTTCTGGATCTGTATATCCTACCTATGGGAGGAATAGTACCAGATATTGAAATGTATTGCAATCTATAAAATAGTGCCCAGGCCCACAAAGTATTACCAAGCAGGTGGCAAGGATGAGTCTCCAAAAGGCCATTCCACACAGGCAGGCTGTGATGGAGTACATGGACCAGTGAATTCTCTGAGCATTGTCCTGCTGCCTTTCTACTGTGCCTGTCAAATGAGGGTTTTAGTTAGAAATGATACCATGTGCAATTCTGACAGGACTGGCATTCTATAAATGCACAGGTGAGATTTTAGTAGAAGCACTGCAGTCAGGGAAGGCAATTCCATGTGTAGAGTAAGAATCTAATGCAATGAACACACACTACTGCCTCTTCCATGATGTGACCAGGTGGCTGGCTATTTCCCCTGGGGAATGTGTGAGGTACTCTGTAGTGGCTGTAGTCACATCAGCTTTGGTGACAAAAAGCCTGTGTCATTGAGCCCTTACCACCATGACCACTTTATACTTCAGTTGAGCAAGCACTGGGAAGACTACAAAAAGAAGCTGAAAGACATTTACAGGTAGAACCATCTTGACTTATGGACATGGACAATGTGCGGTGATTGCTGGGGGG